TTCCCCCAAACGAAACCCTAATGTTCTATTACACTTTATGTTACACATTGGTCTAGGGTAGAATTTATCATTTTCCCAGATGCTCTCCTTACAACAAAAATACGTTCAATACGTCATAATAGACCATGTACACAACTATGAACCATCGGAATGTCATTTTGACCACAGGTTGACCGCGTTGACTCGTCAAACACGTCAATCTCTCTCTCTCTCTCTCTCTCTCTCTCTCTCTCTCTCTCTCTGTATTTGTTTTCCTATTCGTGCCACTGTGCCTTAAGATTTTGCCTCGCGAGCTCCCTTGGAACTTGAAATCGTTCTATGTGCTATGTTTGTATGGTGCATACACCTCTGATTGCTGTTTAGGAAAAATTTTCGAGTGTTTTTGTGGTATAGCCATTTGTCATTTTGGGAATTCTGCGTATAAGAATCAAAAATCAATTTGCAGCTTGAAATTATGGTGTGGCTTGCATATGTCTTTTAGAAATGCAATTTTCGTTCGAGAGACATAAAGAAATGTGACATCCCCCCCCCTCCAGTTCATGTCGAATGGTCTATGTTACCAAATTCAGCAGCAAAGCATGGAAAGGATATGTCGTCCTCCGTCGAATGGTCTCTTCCTGAGTCCATGAATCTAGCTGTTGATTACAATAAGTACAGAGTAACGTGGATTCAATTATATGTATTTGAAGTTTGCAGAAGTGCAAGTTTTTGGGCACTTTTTCCCCCTTTACATGCCAGTTTGGCCTTTTGCTTTGGATATTGTTTCAGGGTTGCTTCCACCATTGATGCTGTCCTGCTCTCTCATTCAGATACGCTTCACATAGGTGCTCTCCCATATGCCATGAAACAGCTTGGACTCTCTGCTCCTGTTTATTCCACTGAGCCTGTTTACAGATTGGGTCTCCTCACAATGTATGATCAGTATCTATCACGGAAGGTGAAATTTCATATTTGGTTGATAGTGTAGAATCGATGTACTGGAAAGTTTTTTTATGTCGTTCCTTTAGCAAGTGAGCATAATCGTTCTTAAATTGCTGTTGCAGCAAGTTTCAGAGTTCGATCTGTTTACTCTGGATGATATCGACTCTGCTTTCCAGAATGTGATCAGATTGACTTATTCACAGAATTACCATCTTTCTGGTACGTGCTTTCAGTAAAAAATTCTTCTAATCCCCACATAAAAAACATGGAGGAAGTATTTATTTTTCTTGATGAATTTTGAGTTTTCTATTTGGTGTCCTTCCTTGGCACAGCTTCACGGATATGGGTGTAGTTTCTGACAATTCAATACCGCAGCATATTCCTTGTTATAGCTTGAGAGGTCATTAGGACGCCTTCATAGTTTTATCTAAATCCATATTCCATATGTTTAGGAAAGGGAGAGGGTATTGTTATTGCTCCTCATGTTGCTGGACATATGTTGGGAAGTAGCATTTGGAAGATAACAAAGGATGGTGAAGATGTTATATATGCTGTTGACTACAACCATCGTAAAGAAAGGTATGTGTTTTTGGCTTTCAATTGAAGTGTGGTTAGGCTTATTCATTGATAATGAAAAGCATAATCTTGACATTAAATCGTGCTCGTTTTGTTAGGCATTTAAATGGAACTGGTTTGCAATCTTTTGTCCGGCCTGCTGTTCTCATAACTGATGCGTACAACGCCCTGAACAATCAGCCCCCAAGACAACAAAGGGACAAAGAGTTTCTAGGTAAGCCTGTAACTCTTCATGTAAGATGTTAGTGTCAATGTACAAGAATGCCTGTTTCTAACTTCCATAGCTACATGGATGTTCACACATATTTTTCAGATGCCATTTCAAAGCATCTTGAAGTAGGCGGTAATGTTTTACTGCCAGTTGACACTGCTGGTCGAGTCCTGGAACTTCTCTTGATACTTGAACAGGTAGGAGAGGCGATCTGACTAGACTGAACTTTTGGTTAATTTCATAAAACTGTTCAGAGGTGGATGGATACTGAATTGTGAATAAACATGCAGCATTGGTCGCAAAGGGCTTTCAGCTTTCCCATCTACTTTCTAACATACGTGTCATCTAGTACCATTGACTATGTCAAGAGTTTCCTCGAGTGGATGAGTGACTCCATTTCAAAGTCTTTTGAAACTTCTCGCGACAATGCTTTTCTTTTGAGGCAAGTAGTCTAATCATTTCAGTGTATTATAGTCTGACTTGAGTGTATATGTTTGTTTAGCGAGATATGGAGTAATTTGACCCTGAGTTTGTCCATCTTTTCATGTGTACTCACTGTGGTTATTAAATGTTAAACCGCACAGGCATGTCTCTCTCATGATAAACAAGACTGATTTAGATAATACTCCATTGGGTCCAAAGGTCAGTTTATAAATTACTGTTTGATGTGCCGTAGCATTGAACAATGTGGATTCTTCTGTTCTTTTTTTTTCATCAGAGGTGATGGTACAACTACAGTTTGCTTTTACTATATCTTATTGACTGAAACCCCTTTTTCAGGTCGTTCTAGCATCCATGGCTAGTCTAGAAGCTGGTTTCTCTCATGATATATTCGTGGAGTGGGCAAATGACCCCAAAAATCTAGTCCTTTTTACTGAAAGAGGCCAGGTGATTTATCTAGAACCTACATTTTATTTTATTTTGCATAGAATTTGAACTGAGATGTTTAAGATAGAGTCGTAGACACTGAACTAACTGCTGTTGCTGCCCATTGCTGATCATCTACTTAGCTGGGTGATAAAGCCCAATGTGTCACTGCTGTAACTTTGAGAATCTCTCTTGTTTCTTTACTTGGGCTGTAAAGTTTGCTTGGTATTTGTTTCACATATAGGTTGAGGGTTGAATCAGTTAAATGGACCATAGCCAGAGTGATCCCTTCCTCTGAGCAGAATATTCTTTCGTAGAAATAGATGTCTTTTCTGTCTGAGATGTGCACGGTGTTTCTTTAGTATATGTATCCAGCATATGAAACTTGATTGTGAATTGATTCAGAGTCCAGGTTACATTATTTTGCAATGTTATTTTGTTGACGGATTGTCTTGTATGTAGTTTGGCACTTTAGCTAGAATGCTTCAGTCAGATCCACCTCCTAAAGCTGTTAAAGTCACCATGTCCAAGAGAGTTCCTTTGGCCGGGGAAGAGTTGATTGCTTATGAAGAAGAGCAAAACAGACTGAAAAAGGAAGAAGCCTTGCGGGCTAGTCTAGTGAAAGAGGAGGAAACAAAAGCTTCTCATGGACCTGACAGTAGTTCTAGCGAACCTATGAGCATAGATACCAAGGCTACTGCAGATGGTAGTTTTCTTTCATTTTCATTTTTTCACAAATTTCAGTAGCCTTATTAAGTATCAAAATTGGCTTGTTCATTTGAACTTCTAGTTGAAATTTGATTTTTAGGTTCTATAGTACTCAAGGTTATGTTTTTGGTTAATTAATTGGCTGTAGGAAGCATCAAATTGTTACTCTTCCCAAAAACCTTGAGGTAGAGGTTCTATTTAGAAATCTCATAATAGAGATTGGCAAAAACTTCTCGTAGTTTTCTGTATGTGACACTCCCAGAAATGGTATTATCTTGCACGATGCTTTCTGTTGCAATCTTCCTAACCCATTGTAGTATTGTAATAGGTGACACATCTCATAATGCCATTTGGTTGGTACTTTAATAAAGAACCCTGTGTACACATAGAAGCAAGTGGATCCTTTTCATTGATAGTAAAGGACTTATAGGACCCAGTGGAAGCAATAATTTTTGTCATTCAATATTTACAGTATCATCTTTGAAAATTTGAGATAATGGGGAGTTAAATAAGCACCACCGTTCTCATCTCAAACTCTGCTTGCTACAAGGTAGCATCAATCTGCAGCTAATATTCTATGTTTCTGATGATACGTGCAGTTGCTGGTTCTCATGGGCCTGCATATAAGGATATACTTATAGATGGATTCGTTCCCCCAACCAGCAGTGTAGCTCCAATGTTTCCGTTCTATGAAAATACACCTGAGTGGGATGACTTCGGCGAAGTGATTAATCCCGATGACTATGTGATCAAGGATGAAGACATGGGCCAAGGAGGGATTCTTGTAAGTATGCGGTATTCTTGTCAGCCATTTTGATTGTTATGCTGTTTTTCTTATATTGATGTTGTACTTGACATTGTCTATGCATTCTTGATTCCTTATTTGGTTTACCTTCTACATGATTTTTGGTTGGTGTGATTTTCCTTGCTCTATTTAAGAGAGAACATATTCTAAAAAATCACCATGGTGGCCCTGGAGGGTTTGAGGAACTTATTAGTAACATTTACTAACTTGTCTCAAACTTGCTTTATTTGGCTCAATAATGACAAGGTAACACTTGTACAAGTCGAGTTCACGGATCCTATAATTTATTCTCTCTTTTTCCTTTCCCTGCACTTCACCTGACATGTTTTCATTTGGTTCAGTGCTGGAAAATTTTGATGCGCGGTCAGTGTCCATGAGAGGAATATTTGGCATCCTTTTTCTTCTGAACCTTACCAGAATCTATGTTCAATAGTTTATTAGTTCATTTGGTAGATGTCCATTTCAGACCGGAGGTGACATGGACGGAAGGTTTGACGAGACAGCTGCTAGTCTGATGCTTGATACCAGACCTTCGAAAGTTATATCTAATGAGCTCACTGTAAGTAGACTCTAACACTAACTTTAAAAGAGTCTCCTCCATACTCCTTCAGAGAGTACCGAATTGGCAAATTATCTTATTCTGTGTTCGTTTTGTTGATTAGGTGCATGTTAAATGCCCACTTGTTTATATGGACTATGAAGGTCGTGCAGATGGCCGATCAATCAAATCAATGATTGCACATGTCTCTCCTCTTAAACTTGTACGTCTCAACTCCTTTTCTTTAGTAAGGAAGACCTTAATATTTTTGTTAAATTTGCTATCGATAATCATCTCAATCCGTTGGCTTGCTTGAACAACTTTTTTTGTGAAATCAAATCTCTCTGTCCTAAAGTTCAACAGAAACTAGAATGCTACTATCTATGGATTGAAACGTTTTCAAACGACAAAGTTTTTGTTGTTGTCATGACATAGTTGGGTGGATAGTTGTGATTTGGTACTTAATATGCACTTTCACTTTCACCAATGCAATACTACACGTTCTGAAAGGTTCTGGTGCACGGATCAGCTGAGGCTACAGAGCATTTGAAGCAACATTGTTTGAAAAGCATTTGTCCACATGTTTACGCTCCTCAAATTGAAGAAACTGTTGATGTCACTTCTGATTTGTGTGCTTATAAGGTAGAAGTTAAGAACAGCTGAATTTTCTTTGCTTTATGATCTCTATTTCCGATAATTAAAAATTGTTTGGTTCTGCTATGTGACGTATCAGGTCCAACTTTCTGAAAGGCTGATGAGCAATGTGATATTTAAAAAGGTGCTTTCTGTTTCCAGTTTATATATATATAGAGAGAGAGAGAGACCATTTGTTACCTATCCATCTCGAGCAGTGGTTTTCTGAATCATGTGATGATGATGGTATCGTTTCTATCTTTCAGCTGGGGGATTATGAAGTAGCTTGGGTAGATGCCGAAGTTGGGAAGACAGAAACTGAGATGCTGTCAGTACTACCCATGTCGAGTGCTGCCCCCCCTCCACCTCACAAGTCGGTTCTCGTTGGTGACCTGAAAATTGCAGACTTCAAACAGTTTCTATCCAGCAAGGGTGTGCAGGTAGGTACTGGTCCTTTTGCCTGATTAATGTTCTGGGTTTGTATGAAAAGATCATGTAACAATGTGTGTGCAGGTGGAATTTGCGGGCGGAGGTGCGTTGCGCTGTGGAGAGTACGTAACTCTGCGTAAGGTTGGTCCAACCGGCCAGAAGGTATGGACCCATTTTTTTTTTATGTGATGGATGGATGGAATGAAGAGAGAGAGAGAAGGAATCTGATGCGTTGGTTGATTAGGGAGGAGCATCGGGACCGCAGCAGATTCTTTATGTGATGGATGGATGGAATGAAGAAAGAGAGAAGGAATCTGATGCGTTGGTTGATTAGGGAGGAGCATCGGGACCGCAGCAGATTCTGATAGAGGGGCCCTTGTGCGAAGATTACTACAGAATCAGGGATTACCTCTATTCCCAGTTCTACCTCTTGTAGTGATGATGCATGTGGAGAGTGGAGGGGGGAAAGGTAGGGCTTACAAGTTGACGCATCTGCATTTTACATTGAGAAATGGAAGGTTTCAGTAAGTTCACTCACAATCGTCTTTTGTGAATTTTGTTATGATAGAGGGGCCCTTGTGCGAAGATTACTACAGAATCAGGGATTACCTCTATTCCCAGTTCTACCTCTTGTAGTGATGATGCATGTGGAGAGTGGAGGGGGGAAAGGTAGGGCTTACAAGTTGACGCATCTGCATTTTACATTGAGAAATGGAAGGTTTCAGTAAGTTCACTCACAATCGTCTTTTGTGAATTTTGTTATTCCTTTCTTTTGGGAAAACTTTTGTCTCGTTTTGAGTGAAATCTTTACTCGGGGCACACCAGCATATTCCTCTACGTGGTGGATTATTTGAAAGAAAAAAAATGTTGCTCTTATATACAAAATACAGCGCGGACAAACTAATTTAACCGTTGAAATTGTTTAGTTACGTGATATTTTATTAGATATGATAATCTATTTTTTTTTAAATATCAATATTGATAATTATACCAAAGAATTATTAATCTTGAGATGTTTTCCTTGAAAAAATGAACATCCATTGCTCGTGGGGATTGTTTTAGCATAATTTAAACGATAACAGGCCATAAACTCGTGGACTGTATGTTCTCTCCTCTTCAAAAAGATAACCAAAAGAGAGGAAAAAAAAAAAAGAAAACTTTCTACGGGTAGGTGAGAGGGTTCTCTTCTCTCTATCTGTCTCCCTTTCCATTGCAAAACGAACACATGTCTATATACATCAACCCTAGTTAATCCGCCATTTCCAATCTCTCCCCGAGCTTCTTCTTCTTCTTCTTCTTCTTCTTCTTCTCCGGATTCGAGCACCCAATTTCATCATCGCCTTTCACTAGCGCCATGGCTTGTGCGACCCCCACTAGGGCCCCTAACTCTCTCCAGCTCCGTCTCGCTCTTAGCTCCGGCACTCGTCAGCGATCCCACGCCGTCTATCTACGCCCTTCGCGGTTCAGGAGGAAGTCGGATTTCGGGATTTTGAAGGTCGCGTGTGTTTCGCAGAAGCGAGAAGCTGAGACCTGGAATGGATCCGATTCGCCACCGGGTGATTTGGCTGGATGGTCCGACTCCGGTGATGGCGGCAAGTCTTCTCCTGAACCGC